ACTTTCTTGAGTCCCCTCGCGTTTTGAAGAATGTTGAAGAGCTCCTTCACTAGGTGGCAAATGTTCTAAAGCATATTGGGCACACTGAAGTTTTTTGGTAGCCCTTTTGGGAGATGATGGGTTTACCAGAGCCACTTTTGCTGCTTCCACATGTTGGATAGACTCTTGTTCCAATGTGGACAGTTCTGGAGCTTGTTGGGCAGACAGGGAAAGTCCCACATCCTCTTTAGCAGATGGCAAATTTCTGAGAGTCCCTTGTGCAGGTAAGGAAATTAAAACAGGATCATGATCAGATATCATAGATCCTGGAAACCCTGAGATATTTTTCAATTGTCCTGGAGATCCTGTGCTGTGTGAATATGTTCCCACATCCACTTTCACAGAGGACAATAGTCCTGGGGTCCCCTGGGAAGATATGAAAGGTGACATATCATCTAGAGAAGACAGAGAATGCCCTGAAGTTGCTTTTGTGGACTTGTAAATTTCTATAGGCTCTTGTGCAGACAGGGAATGTCCCACAGACCCATGGACTGAGAGCACAGGGGCTATGCTACCTTCTGAGGGTGAGAGACTTCCCTGAAGCCCTTGTACAGATGGCATTGATGGTATGGCCTCTGAGCCATATTGAGGTAATTCTAGAGTTCCATGAACTGGCAACAATGGGGAAGGGATTTCCTGAGACAGAGTTGAAAGTCCCTGAGCCTTTGGAGCCACAGGTAAGTGCTCAAGAGGATCAAAGGCTGAGGGGGAATTTTCCAGATATTCATGTGTAGATGGTAGAAATTTTTGCAAGCCTTGTGCAGATTGGGAAGTATCAGCATTCCCCTGAGTAGGTATGGAAAGATCCAGAGGCCTTTCTAGGGACAACAAGGGCTTTTGCAAAGGCACCCCAGGTGAGCATGAAGTTTCTAAAGAGTCCTGAGCAGGAGGGACATGTTCTAAAATCCCTTGTTCTTGTGAGGAATCTTCCTCATCTTCTGGGAGGTTGGGCAAATGTCCTGAATAACTTAATGAAGGTGGAAATTTTTCCTGAGGCCCTTGGGCAGATGGCAAAAGTTCTTTTGCTCCCTGGGCAGCCTGGGAACAATACAGGTCTCCTGGGGCAGATGGGGGATGTTCAAGAAACCCTTGGCAAGATGATGAAGTTCCTAGATACCACTGCTTAGATGTTGATGGTTTTGGAGACCCTGGGGGAGATGGAAAGTGTTCTGCAGCAAGAAGGCAGGAATAGGCAGAAGGATCTTTAGATGGTTTGGAGGACATAGGAGATGTCAGGTCCTCTTGTGGTTCAAGATGTTTTTGTTTACATTTGGCCTTTCCCTTAGACCCTTTGGCAGATAAGGAAGATTTCAAGACTCCCAAGTCAGATTTAGAAATTGACAGATCACCTTGGGTACAGGTAGAATTTTCTTGAGCCTTTAACAGAGATGGAGAATGTCCCTTTAGGCCTGGGACAGATGGTAAATGACATAGACACTTTAGGACAGACAGCGAAGGTCCTTGAGCCTCTTGGGATGATATGGAATGTTCACGAGGCCCTTGGTTAGAATGGCAAGGTTCCACAGTCTTTTGTTCAGATGTGGAACATTGCAGGTCCTTTTGGACAGATATAGAAGGCGTAGTACTTACCTGAGGAGTACTTGTAGTGATTGATGTTTCTTTCGGAGTGGTAGAAGATGCACATACCCTTTTTGAGGAAGGGAGAAGTATGAAACTGCCTTCCTCAGATGAGGAAGTTCCGAAGTCCCCTTCATCAGAAGGCTCATCTCTCAACCTCTTTTTGGTAGAAATGGAACATCCAGGGCCCACTTGGGTAGAGGGAACATGTTTACTATTTCCCTCCTGAGAAGGGATATGCATGAAACTCTCTTGTGTAGATGGGGAAGATGGTAAAGTGCCTTCACGAGATGTGGTAGATCCTTGAGCCTCTTGCTCAGAAGGGGAAGGTGCTACTGTGTCAGGTGTACATGTGCGTATTTTTACTACAGTTTCAGAATGAGGGAAAGTTTCTAGAATGTGTGTAGGTGTGGTATCCTCTAAAGTTTCCTGTGCATATGTTATAGGTCTAAAATCCTCATGGTCAGCTAAGGAAGTTACTGTAGATCCTTGTGTAAATGTGGGAGTTTTAGGAACACTTTCTGCAGGTGTAGAAGACAATAAAGCCTTTTGTATAGGAATGTTAGGTTCTAGAGACAGTTTGATGGACAAAACAGATTCTAAGGGCCCTTGGGAAAATAAGGTAGAATTCAGAACCTTTGGAGTATTTGTTGAATCTTCTGGAGTCACTTGTGGGCATGTGGAAATACTAACATCCCTTTGTGTAGATGGGGAATGGCCTATAGCCTCTTGTGTAGTTGTGACAGATTGTTGATACCCTTGAGGAGATAGAGAAACTTCCACAGCCTCCTGTGAAGAGTGGAGAGGTCCTGTGGGTGTTTGTGGGCAGGTAGAATCTAAGGAATCTCCTTCTCTCGATGTGAAATTTGCTACAAATTCTTGTGTGCATGTGTCACATCCAGGAACCATTTCTAAGGATGGGGATGAGTCTGGAACCCCTTCTGCATATGTATCCTGTCCCACAGTCACTTTATCACATATGGTAGAACCCAAAACATCCTGGACAGGTTGTAAATGACCTGGTAATCCTTGTGTATATGTAGAAATTTCAAGAGCCTCTCCTACACATGTGGAAAGTCCTAGAGGTTCCTGAGGAAGAAGGGAAGGCTGTATTGACTTAGCACTTTGGGTAGTTGTGGGGCGTGCATGGCTCACTTGAACTCTCTTGGCATATCTTTGGCTATTTTGTTTCCAATGACGAATCAGAAGGGCCTTTTTGGTTGGCATGGTATATTTAGGGCCCTCTTGGTCTGATAGGGACACTGGAAACTCACCTTGCTCAGAAGGAAAATCTGACCTTTTCTTTTTGCTATAGTGGGAATATCCATTGCCCATTTTCATATCTGGATTAGGTTTGAATTTCCTTTTGTGAGAGAGAATAGGTCTTTGATCCACTTCTCTAGATGTAGACAATTCTGGTGTCTTCTTGACAGATATGGAAGGACTCAGAACCCCTAGGGAATTTGATGCAGGTGCTAGAGACCTTTGTGTATGTTGAGAAGGTACAAGGGTCCCTTGGGTAGACTTGGGAGTGTCTAGCATCTCTTGAAGATATGTGGAACTCTCTAGGGCCCCCTCTGAAGATAGCAAAGATTCTGGAATCCCTGATGTAGATGTAGATAGTTTTGTTTCTGCTTGGGTAGGCATGAGTGGTGTGAGGCCCACTTGGGGAGTAGTGATAGAGCTTGGTCCCCCCTGTGCTGTAAGGGAAGATCCGAGCCCATTTTCTGGTGGAGGACATTTAAAGCCATCTTGGTTCAAAGGGGAACTTATAAAATTCCCTTGGTCAGAGGAGGCAGGACTCAAGCTCACTTCAGCAGATACTGATTGCTTAGGGTCGTTCTGGGGAGAGGGGAAACAGGCCTGGCTCTCTTCAGGAGAGGGTATAACTCTCCAGTCATCTTTGTCAGCTCTCAAAGGTGTTAAACTCCTCTGGGGAGAGGGGGTAGGACACATTCCATTTTGGGAAAATGAGCAATCACTGAGCACCCCTTTTGGAGAAAAACATTTGGAGCCTTCTTTGTCTAATGGGGCCTGCTGTAGGCCCCCTTGATCAGAAGGGGCTTGTCTAAAACTCTTTGGTCGAGAATTGGAATGATTGGTGACCCCTAGGCTAGAGGATGGACTTTTGAAAACCCTTCTGGAAAAGGAGACATGTTTGATTTTCCTTTCAGGAAAAGGGAGAGGTTTCTGGGATGCCTGGGAAGATATGGGCTGCCCCATAGACCCTTGATCACATTGGGCTCCTCCCAGAATCTCTCCGGTGGATAGGGGTAGTCCCTGAGCATCTTGGGAAGAAGTGGAGTATCCCAGAGCTCCTTGGGTAGGGGAGGAAGGTTGCAGAGAACCTTTAAATTGTGGGGAAATTACCAGTCCACGTTGGTCAGTGGAAGAGTCAGCAAAAGACGGCCCAGGCACTCTGTCATCCTCGTTGACCTTTTCACTGGCATCCCTAGCACAGCGTCTTGGAGATGTTGCAGACACTCTGGTGCCCGAATGGTCAAAGTCCATAGGTTCTTCAAACACAGTAGACATATCCAGGCTTCTTTGCACCTTCCCAGGTCTATGCACAGAAGTTGAGGCCACTCTTTTTCTGGTAGCAGGAGGTAAGACAGATGGTCTGGGTTCCCTGCTCAGTGGGTTACTCCTGCAGTCAGGAACCTCTGGAGAAAGTAGAACTTGTCCTTCCTTGATCTCTTTCAGCTCTTTTAAGGGATCCAGGGTCTTCTTACTGGATGTTGTCTTTATAAGAGCTCTAAGACTCCGCAGACTATCTGCAGTACCAGTGAAGGCTGTTTTGTCCTTATAAGGCTTTTGGCACCTGAACTTGTGCCGAGCCAGTCGAAGCACCCCCGGAGGTGCAAAGTCCCTCGGTAATTTGGTGCTGGTCAAGTATGTCTCCCATTGGGGTGCGCTGTCATCAATCCCTTGGGAGACACTGAAGGGGGTCCCAGGACGTCGGGCTCTGAAAGGGGTCCCAGGCCTATGAGGCAAGCGCTTCACCCATTGGGATAGGATGTCATCATCCCATTGGGGGACCCAGAAGGGGGACCCTGGACGGGGTCCACTGAAGGGGGTCCCAGGCCGGGGAGGCTGGGAAAACTGTGGTCTCTGGTCAGAGTGTGATGGACCAGCTGAGGCTCTCTGGCCTCTCTCCACAGGTTTGTCCATTTAGCCAATAAAGTAGTTGAAAAATAAAAAGGGAAATTACCCCTCGCAAGGGGCAGCGAATGTACTTGCCACTGGTGACTCTCGGCAAGCAGCAGCAAAGCAATATCCTCAGAGAGAGGCTCTCCTTCCCGAGAACTGTGGACACGTCCGGTAGCCGAAGCGCACAGTACTCGAGTGACAGTTGGCCTCAGAATTCGAACAAAGCTCGAGAGTTACACTTGGAATGGATGTCCTCGGGCCTGCACGGGCCAGTCCCGAGCTGTCTCAGCTGGCGGTTCTGCGTGCACTAGCCAGGCAAACATCCAAACTTTCTGAATGAGGAGGGCACCTTGGACCCTCTCTTCTTCATTAGGGTCGAGAGTGCTAGGTAGTCTGGTGCCCACTGTCAGTGACCAGGATACGGACTATTGAAGAGGCAACATGATTGGGAAGGCAAGGGGGTGCTTGGGAGACTTTGCTTTCGGGTTCCTCTAACACCATTCTGGTCCCGCTGTCAGGAGGTCGTAGTGTTGCAGTCAGATCTGTTTGAGCCTCATAACTGAATGAGAAAGGGTGATCCAGGTGTTTGCTTCTCAGACTGTGGGGGCCAGGCAATCACTGGTTGTGCTAGGGAAAGGATAAGTAATGGTGCTTGAATAGAGAAGAGGATACCATCTGGACCTGATATTACAAATGCTATTCTGTATTTTAAGGATGACCTATCCTGGGATTTTCTAGTAAATTGGTGACAACTTTTGTGAACATCATCCTGCATGCTGAAATGCATCTCTAGTCTGCTTCATAGTAGTTACTGCAGTACTATTATTATGTAAATGTATAGTCCATGTCCTGGTCGCTGAGAGTGGGCACCAGACTACCTAGCACTCTCGACCCTAATGAAGAAGAGAGGGTCCAAGGTGCCCTCCTCATTCAGAAAGCTTGGGTGTTTGCCTGGCTAGTGCACGCAGAACCGCCAGCTGAGACAACTTGGGACTGGCCCGTGCAGGCCCGAGGACATCCATTCCAAGTGCAGCTCTCGAGCTTTGTTCGATTTCTGAGGCCAACTGTCACTCGAGTACTGTGTGCTTCGGCTACCGGACGTATATAAGCATAAGTTTAAGAAAAATAATGGTCTTATAGTACAAAAGCAAGTTGTTTTTCAAATACTTTTATCTGCTTTTGTTTAAGTTCACCAGTTCAGAACATAGCCACAGCTGGACTCCCTAGTGTAGCCCTTATGGCCTTAAGCAATTCCTTTGTTCTGGGTTTATATGTTGGGTGCTATAACATTTCCATATTTGATTGTTTGGGAAGGTCATTTAATTTCCCTGAAGTCACACTATGGCTAGTGGCTCACATCACATTCACCTCCATTCTAATGACGAAGCTGAAGTATAGTTACATAGAATAATTTTGGAAACCCTTAGAGTAGTTGGTTCTTTGAAAGGTCATCTTTATTGAGCAGTTGACATACTGAGAAAGTGTAAATTTGAAGATATGAATGAAGACATTATCTTACTGATAGAAAAATTTGCTTTGCTTGTTGCACGTTTTTCCAGTTTTACTTTGAGCACTTTTTGTTCTTGCTGGATGAAGGTTTTGTTTATTTATTTCAGTGCTATATCTGATTTTCGTGAAGAATTTCTGTTTCCCTTTGGCTACACAGACAATATGGCTTCAGGAGCATTGGAGCACTTTTCTATCACCTAATTTTCTTCCTGTGCCATTGTCTTAGTGATTTGGCACATACTTACTCCTTGGAATTTTTGAAAACTTCATCCCTCCCTTTCTTTAACCCTAATTTATCTCACTAATTACATTTTGAAAGGTACTTATCTCCAGGAATTTTATAGTTCACAGTGTTTATTCACATACTATCACATATCATAACCAGAAGCCCCTATGATCTGCTAGGATAGCTAAGGACAATGTACTCTGGTCACGAGGATCTATTTTAATTTTCCATCTCAGAGCATGTCTGGCCTTTGAGTAGATTAGTAAACCTCATCTCCAAAAGCCTTTATGGACAGGTATTGCCCATTGCTGATTAGAAAAAAGAATTCATCTCTTCATTCTTTTTTTAAAAAAAATATTTATCTCTTTATTATGAATACAATATTCAGTTTGTGTGTACGCCTATAGGCCAGAAGAGGACACCAGACCTCATTAAAGATGGTTGTGAGGCACCATGTTTTTTGCCAGGAATTGAACTCAGGACCCTTGGAAGAGCAGGTAATGTTCTTAACTGCTGAGCCATCTATGCAGCTGCTTATCTCATCATCCTTTGTATCACTTCCAACATACCCATCATACATCTACCACAAGTTATCGTGAGCGTGCGTGTGTTTATGTTTGCATGTTTGTGTGTATAAAGGTAGATAATGGGCTAAAGGAATGTTTGAAAACAAAATAGCTAAAATTACAGAAATACCAAACTTTAAATCTGAGAGGTCATATACCACAAAAAAAAAAAAAAATCCCAATCAAAGCTTATGGTAGGTCTATGGCGTTCAAAGCTGAAAACCAAAGAGAAAACCCCGTGAGTGTTTTAGCAGGTTGTCAGTGACAGCTGGCTTGCTGTAGGGAATCTACAGCCTTGATTTTCAAGACCTGCTATCTAAAATCAAGGATCTCTTGGGGATCACACACCCTGTGGTCAGTGGAGTATTTTATACTCTGCTTTTCTATATTTCTTATGAGTTCATACAGGTTGGTGGTGCTGGTTCAGGACACATTTGTCTACTGATTTTCATTACTGAGAAATGTGTGTTAGATATCATAGTCAGTGGTGTAACTGCTTTTTCTATTATCTTTAGTATCTTATACAGTGAAGCTTTGACCATATATACCTATGTATCTGGGAAAATGTAATCATGTTCCTGTGTGTGTGCTGTTTATATATATATAATATGGGTGTTTACACATATGCATGAGTATATGTATGTGCATAGGATGAGGTCAGTATCAGGGTATTTCTTCAGTAATTCTCCACTGTATTTTTGAGGGTCTTGGAGACTTCACAGCACAGTGATTACAGAATTCCTATGGAGTTCAAATTTAGAAAACAATATCAAAAAATGACAGGGAGTAGTGACTACAAATAAGTACCTGTACAGCACAGATGCCACAAGGACCTTCCTGCCCCTCACCTTTACTTCTCTCTGAGACTGTCCTCCATATCCAGGCATGTGTGGCTTTTCCTGTCTTGCTGTGGCAAACTGTTGGACACTGTATGTTCTACCTTCCTCATTTAGCTAGACCAGTCATCTTATGGCATACTGGTTTTGTTAAAGTTGACCTCACTTGACCATATTAGGCTTTGTGCAAATGCACATGACCTTAAGACAGCCAGGGAAAACATCCTAACATTGTGTCCATAGTAAAGTCAGTAAAAAATAGCGAGCAAGACCAGGATCCTCGTCAAGATTTCTTGATTACCCAATCCAGCTGCACCTGAAGTTTACTCACTGTCTTTTGATGCTTAGATGCATTTCTGCTTTAACTAAACTTCAGCATTCTCTAAAGCCAGTTTGAATTGTGTTTTACCACTTGCAACTGAAAAGTCTGCTGTGAAAATAGGGGATATGGTGAGCTCTAGAGAATGAAGCCAGCTCAGGTATCAGATTATGCTCTAGAAAAGCCATTGAAGGAGACACTGATGTTTCTCCCAGTCTGAGTTTCAAGTGCAGGCTCAGATATCCTATTGCAAATCAAGGCTGTCCCTGACTTACAACACTGTTGTAAGCTGCTCAATGTCTCCGTTTCCATATTTCGACTCTTCCTTGAGTTGCTTAGATTTTTGCACCTTACTCACCATCATCCATGGATATCTATCACTCCCTTCCTTCAGCAAACTGAAAAAAATATTGTCGTATTGAACACCACAATATTATCATGCACTGCCAAAGCTACAAAGAAAGCATCTGTGGGGGCGGGGCATAACTACTCATCTCCTGATCTCGGAAGGGTTAGACTTCACACTAAAGTGGGCAGACAGCCTTTCAGAAATGCATTTCCATAAGTGTTCAACTGAATGATACCACAGAAGATGGCAGGGTAAGATAAGTAGAAGATTCTATGTCATGTGAAAGCAAAAAAAAAAAAAAAAAAAAAAGCTGACAAATACCATTGACAACAATTATTCCAAATGCATATGAGTACCTTTACATAAGAAATGCAGAATCTGGGCTTTTTAGGCAAAAGGAAACCAGAGAACTCAGTGACATTTACCCTTATATCTCTCCTCCTCTCTAGAGTGACAGTGTTCTTAAACACTGGCATCTTACCTTTACAGAAATGCCTATAGTGTATATTCACCAATTCTAAAAGGGAGTACCAAATCATTCTCTGTTGTCCAAAAAAATTTCAGACATAGATGACCTGAACTAGTGGACCTAAGATCTTCCAGCATGTACCAAGGCAGACACACAGCCTTTCAATATAAATATGGGATACCCATACACATCCCTTCTATCCTATAAGGCCACAGATAATCATGTACAGTTCCATGGAGTCTCCAAAATATCCCCTTGCAAAAAAAAAAAAAGGACTATTATGCCTGCCTGCAGGCCAGAAGAATATACCAGATCTCATTACAGATCTCATAACAACCACCATGTGGTTGCTGGGAATTGAACTCAGGACCTTTAGAAAAGCAGACAGTTCTCTTAATCACTGAGCCATCAATCCAGCTTTGGAGAACTGCTTTTTAAATCAGTGGAATGTGTTCAATCAAGTGAATTTCTCAGATGCCTGAATATTTTGGATTTTTGTTTCTGCATTTAGTCCTGTGTTTTCTAAATGCTTATGATGATCCTGTCAGATTAAAAGGCAATGGGACTCACAAAAAGAGCCTAAGTTCTTACCTCCCCCCTCAAGAAGGCTTCAGAACATATCAATATGAACAAAGGGCCCTCAGGTTTTCCTATGGACAAGGCAGCTTCAGAATGCTTCAGTCTGAAAGTGAGAGCCTCGAGAATTGCCCATCTTAATCACCGAGCCACAGAATTGCTCCTTGTGACCAAAGAGAATTTAGAAATGTGCCCTCTAATGTAGATTGTGTTAGAACTTCAACTTCTCCCCAGGAAGACACAAACATAGTTCTTCTGCCCATGGCGGCTTCAAACTTTGCAAGCCTGTCAAACTGAGGTAATAAAGGTGCTCATTTAAGGGGGGTGTAGTTTGGTGCTACTCTCTCTTATCATGCCATATTTACATCTTCTTATTTACAGGCCAGCCTCATATTTTCCTACTCTGTGGCCCACATGAACAACAGGAATTTATAACTTTTCTTTCTCATCAATTACCTGTTAAAACTTTGCTTTCCATTCCTGGCTATCTCAGATGCACATTAAGGCATCAGATTGGTCCATCTGACTATACAAAGGCAGATGTTTTGCATCTGATTATTAATTGGTCACAGTTTCTACATAGAACATGATATACAATCTATTACCCACTGAGAATAACATGTGCTTCTTCTGACTAATATTGACCATGACTTACTAGTGTGTGAAAGATCAATTCCCTCTGTCCAAGAGGTTCAGTGCTTCTTATTCAAATTTATGACTTCAAAGTCTCCGTGCAAAAATAAAGCAACCCAGGTGCCTAAAGTTCTGAAGCATTAGAACATCTAGCAGTGCCGTAAACACAGTGTATGTCCCTTAACTTGATCAAAAGAAATAAAGAAAATAAAGAAATAACAAAATCAGAAGGAGTTAACTGAATTAGTCCGGACCCTAGCTGAGAATTGCCTCCTAGCCTTTGGAGATTGTTCACACTGCTTCCTGCCCTGCACAACATGATATTCTAAATTCCCATGAAGATTTGATCAGGCGCCCCATAAGAGTCATTGACCTTTCTGCATTCCCCAGAGCATAAGAGTTTCTGTGTCTGAAGAAAGAAAATTTTGTATTCAAAATTCCCTGTTTGTCTGTGGATGCAACATTCTCATTCTGTACAGGGTTCTCCACTTTTTTTTTCTGACAAAGAGGCCTCAGACTTATTCCTTCAGGCCCAGAAGGACTCATCATTTTCCCCAGTAACTGAAGTGGACCTCAAAATATTTTCATGGACTCACTGGGTTCTCAGGCACATTCCTTCTGAACCAGGATGCAGAATGAACTCCACTGATTCTCAAGCAGGCTATAGTTTTACCATGACATTAAAAAAGATTTTCCAAAGAAATGTATGGATGAAGAGAGCTTCTGACCACTTCTACAGAACTGGGGGTTTCAGATCTTCCTGAATGGCCCAGTTGGCCTCAATCTTTACTGCCAAGAGCAGAGGTAACTCACAGCTTTTACCAGTAAACTAATAAACTGTCAACAACAAAAGCTTCAGCAATTACCCTGTGTTCATAAGAAGGTTGACACACCTTCCTTTGAGAACCAGGAAACTCAGACATTCTTTTAATGCCCAAAGGGACCTCATGCTTACAACTTCAGAACAAGGGTGTCATGCAACATTTTCAATGCTGAAGGGATTCTGAGATATAACTTGAGAAACAAAGGCATGTCTCTCTGTGATGTCCCATCCACAAGACACAATCCATCATTAACCAAACAACACAACATGTTCACAAATTTTTATTTTTAGAGCAAGAATATTCCATTAGAAAGAAAGTATCTTCAACAAATGGTGCTGGCACAACTGGATGCCAACCTGTAGAAGAGTGAAAATAGACCCATATCTATCACCATGCACAAAACTCAAGTCCAAATGGATCAAAGACCTCAATATCAATCTGAACACACTGAACCTGATAGAAGAGAAAGTGGGAAGTACCCTACAACATATGGGCACAAGATATCGCTTCCTAGGTATAACCCCAGCAGTACAGACATTAAGGGCAACATTAAATAAATGGGACCTACTGAAACTGAGAAGCTTCTGTAAAGCAAAGGACACTGTCACTAAGACAAAAAGGCAACCCACTGATTGGGAGAAGATCTTCACCAACTTCGTAACAGACAAAGGTCTGATCTCCAAAATATATAAAGAACTCAAGAAACTAGACTTTAAAATGCTAATTAACCCAATTAAAAATTGGGGCATTGAACTGAACAGAGAATTCTCAAAAGAAGACGTTCAAATGGCCAAAAGACACTAAGGTCATGCTCAATCTCCTTAGCAATCAGGGAAATGCAAATCAAAACAACTTTGAGATATCATCTTACACCAGTCAGAATGGCTAAAATCAAAAACACCAATGATAGCCTTTGCTGGAGAGGTTGTGGAGGAAGGGGTACCCTCATCCATTGCTGGTGGGAATGCAAACTTGTGCAACCACTTTGGAAATCAGTATGGTGGAAATTCGGGATCAACCTACCCTTGGACCCAGCAATGCCACTCTTGGGAATATACCCAAGAGATGCCCGATCATAAGACAAGGGCATTTGTTCAACTATGTTCATAGCAGCATTATTTGTAATAGTCAGAACCTGGAAACAACCTAGATGTCCTTCAATGGAAGAATGGATGAAGAAAGTGTGGAATATATACACATTAGAGTACTACTCAGCGGTAAAAAACAATGACTTCTCAAATTTTGCATGCAAATGGATGGAAATAGAAAACACTATCCTGAGTGAGGTAACCCAGACCCAAAAAGATGAACATGGGATATACTCACTCATAATTGGGTTCTAGCCACAAATAAAGGTCAGTGAGTCTATAATATGATAACCTAAAGAATCTAAATAAGAAGGTGAACCCAAAGAAAAACATATAGCTATCCTCCTGGTTATGGGAAGTAGACAAGATTGCCGGGCAAAAAATTGGGATCTTGGGGGTGGAGTGGGAGGGGGGTAAGGGGAGATGGGGAGAGAAAGTGAGAAGGGGAGGATGGGGGGAACTTGGGGAAACGGGATGATTGGGATAAAGGAAGGTTGGATAGGGGAGCAGGGAAGCACATATCTTAATTAAGGGAGCCATCTTAGGGTTGGCAAGAGACTTGGACCTAGAGGGGCTCCCAGGTGCCCAGGGCGATGTCCCCAGTTAGTTCCTGGAGCAGCTGAGGATAGGGAACCTGAAATTACCCTATCCTATAGCCATACTAATGAATATTTTGCTTATCACCATAGAACCTTCATCTGGCGATGGATGGAGATAGAGACAGAGACCCACACTGGAGCACTGGACTGAGCTCCCAAAGTCCCAATGAGGAGCAGAAGGAGGGAGAAGATGAGCAAAGAAGTCAGGACCACAAGGGGTGCACCCACCCACCGAGACAGTGGAGCTGATCTATTGGGAGCTCACCAAGGCCAGCTGGACTGGGACTGGAAAAGCATGGGATAAAACCGGACTCTCTGAATATGGCGGACAATGAAGGCTGCTGAGAAGCCAAGGACAATGGCACTGGGTCTTGATCCTACTTCATGTTCTGGCTTTGTGGGAGCCTAGCCAGTTTGGATGTTCACCTTCCTAGACCAGGATGGAGGGGGGAGGACTTTGGACTTTCCACAGGGCAGGGAACCCTGACTGCTCTTCAGACTGGAGAGGGAGGGGGAGAGGAGTGGGGGGAGGGGAAGAGGAGTGGGAGGAGGGGGAGGGAAATGGGAGGCTGGGAGGAGGCAGAAATTTTCTTTCTTTAATAAAAATAATAATAAAAAAAAATAAAAAAAGATACCAGGATTAATAGAATACCTGAATTATCTCTGAAAAAAAAAATTTCCAAACACAGTTTTAAGTCTGTCCCTCAAAATTTGAGAATTTCACTTTAACAGATCTTCACAAAATCATAGACATAGATATGGAAGTCATTATCAAACTTGATGAAATACACGGATGGTTTGGTGGGAACTTGGTAAATAATTTTACCTATCTCTTGGGTTCCATCTTTTTTGTTGTACTGCACACTTTTGCCTGACAAGGAATCTCTACCTAATTCCAAAGTAACCTATACTGGAGGACATTCTGGCATGATATTGACGTTGCCTTTCATGTAGTCATCTAAATGGTGGTAAAGGTACAGGACTGGATCTTTCTCATAGATAATGTAGAAACAGGTCATCATGGTCTGCACCTCATCTGGGACCACCCCACTCCACTCCTCCTTAGAGCCTGGCATGATATGGAGGTTGCCTTCAAGGTAGTCGTCCAGGAGGTGGTAAATGTACAAGACCGGATCTTTCTTGTAGGTAATATAGAACCAGGTCTTCATGATTGACACCTCCTCTAGGACCATCCCCTTCCAGTCATCCTTAGAGCCATTTGTGCCCGCGAATGTATGTTTCACTGCTCTGCCAACTATGGTGTTTGAGAGATGAGTGTCTGTCACCTGAGGAAATGGCACGTTATTAGGCAGGATCTTAAGGTTTAAAATCCTTTCATCGCTGTGAAGCTCTAAGCCATAGACACAATCAATCCCATCATATTTCAACAAATAGAGAGTGGGATTTGTTGGCAGTTGATCTAGAATGATGGCTTTCCACTGGGTGACTGGTTCATTGGCTTCCTTCCAGCCATGAGAAATTCTGCGGCCAACAATATTCTCCAGGGCCTCAAAAGGCCTACTAAGTTTTTGCTTCTGGAGAGATGGCCCATTCCTCTTTTGGAGAGGTGGCATGCATCTCATACTAAGAGGCATCTTCATCATGGCAGTAGACTTACTGAGGTAGGCCACAGCACTCCTGTTCCGCTGTCTCTTGGCTATCTTTCTGTGCTTGGGTTTCATAGCTGCCAATCTCTGGGTTGGAAGAACTCTTCAGTTTAAATCAGACACAAAGTGGTTTCCTCCACCATGGGTGCCTGCAAGTATAAGAAAGGGAGGGAAGATGTAAGGTCAAGGCTCTTTTCTGGAAGAACTTTGGGGCAGGCGACAAAGGCAGTGCTGAATAGATTTGGATAACTAAATGTAATTTTGTCTTAAGAAATTAATAGGAAAATTATCAAACTATTGTCTACAGCTCAGTATATCTGTATCAGAGACACATTCCTGCTGCCCAAAGGCAACTGACCTCTGCTGAGAAACCTACTTCCTGACTGACTACGTCAATGAGAGGAGAAGGTATGCCTATCCCCAAAGTGAGTAAGAAAAATCTGAACAGATTTCAAAGAATTGAAGGACAGCCACTTCTCTCCATCTCCCTCAAGCTATTAGTTAGGTGGCTGATCCAAACCACCTGCCCAAGGTCATGGCACTATAGTTCACTGGCTCTCTGTATTGTAGCTCCTGATCCAGACCCAGGTTTATTACATAAAGCCATTCTGTGTCTTCATTAGAGAAGTGAGTACTGTGAGACCCACCGCAACAAGAAAGACTCATTAGACTGGGCAACAGCACCATTTAGAGGTAATTAATATCTTTTAAAACATATACGGACAAAGAGGATCTTTGCCATTTTAGTGGACTGATGAATTGGACATTGTTAGCAAAGATATAGTGGGAAGAATAGATGGCATTCCCTGTCCCCACAGCTATCAAACATAGGAGCTGGTGACCACATAAATGGTGGACCAGCAGGAGATTTGAAGGAAAACTTTCTGGGACTACAGAGGTCCCAGTTGCTTCCTAAACATAAAATGTCTTGGTTCTCCAGATTCCATCTTCTGGAAATGTTCAGCTTCCTAATCCTGTTGAACAGTTGTGGAGCCCAGGAGCTGAACTGACCTCCTCAGCCACCATGAAGATAGTAAACCCACCTTCAAAGAAGACTAGTGCTTCATGTGGAACAGAGTTGCCACCCCCAAACACGGCTTTGTGACATCACCAAGGTTCTACTTATGTCATAAAAGCCCTCATAGGCTGATTTCTTCCCTATTTACCCACAGAAACATCCAGCATACAGGTCCTAAAATGCTGCTCATACAGCCCCCTGGAGACCCAAAATTAAAAACCCCACTCATCTTCCCAATTACATGAGTCATACTCTTGCCCAAGTAACTCAATCCCTTTATCTGTTTTTTTTTTTTTTCTGAAAAAATCTTTGGTGTCTGAGTCAACAACTCACATGAATGCTTTTTTTCCTAGCTCCCATCTCTTCATTGGTTATCTTCTATTGATTTTTTATTACTTCATAATAATAAATATCAAAATATCCACTCCTTTACTCCTCCCACTTTCTTCTCGCTCCCCCACTAAACCTCTCCACTCCAACTCTAGTCCAAATAGAGGGCAGGGTACCTTGACCTTTGGGAAGTCCAAGCCCACACTTCATCCATCCAGATTTAGGAAGGTATGCATCCACATAGAATAGAATCACAAAAAGCCTGTATATGAAGTGCAGACAAATGCCAGTGCCATTATCATTGGCTTCTCAGTCTGCCCCAATTGTCAGCCACATTCAGAGCTTCCAGTTTGATCCCATGCTTTTTTATTTCCAGTCCAGCTGGTTTTGTTGAGCTCCCATTAGCTCAGGCACAGTGTCTCAGTGTGTGGACCAAGGCCTTGTATTCCTGACTTCCATGCTCATATTCTCCCTCCTTCTGCACTTCACCTGGAGCTTGGAAGCTCAGTATAGTTTTCTGATGTGGGCCCTGTTTTTATCTCCATCAACTGCCAAATGAAAGTTCTACGGTGATATTCAAGATAGTCATCAGTCTGACTATGGGACAAGGCACCCATAGTGCCTAGTGACATGGCACAGTACAGGCACCCTCTCCTCACCTGACAAAGGTTCTAGTTGGGGTCACCCCATAGCCTTCTAAGAACCCCTCGAGAGATAAGGCTCTTGCCAACCCCAGAATGGCCCCTAAGTTGAGATATCATCAGTGTGTGTGCATTAACTTGTGTGTGTGTGTTTAAATCACAATAAAAACAGATGGATTGTAATACTGAAATTTATTTTATCTTGAGAAGAATATTTGCTATAGAAACACAGTCACAGTAATACCGAGTGTGTAGGCTATCTCAGCAAGAAGAAGTAATTGGCGGAAACCCCCAGTAGTTAGGCTCAGAGGCCCAGAAATGATGGCCAAGAAAAGTCAATGAACTCAGGAATGGAAGATAAAACTCAGCCTAAATAACACCCCAAATCATTTAGGTGGAACATGAGTACTTGTACAACAGTCACAAGATGTCTAAAATTCCTGGAACTAGAATCTAAGGGTAATACAATGATGTGGAGCTGAGAGTGCATGGCAAAAACTGATTGGATCTGGCAAAAATCATGTAAACATACCAAATCATACATCCAAGGAAACCACCAGTGGGACAAAACCCTAAGAAATCTGTATGACAACATACCATGTTGAAAATTCTGAGGTTTAAAGACAAAAGAGGGATCTTAAATATGTCACTGTCACACTGGTGATGAATAACCCACTCCATCGCAGTGTGACTCCCTGATGTGTTTAAGATAATTTGTCAATTATGTCTATTTAGTTACAGGGAAATTCATATTCCTTGCACAGATTAACTAGCAGCATCATTTACTGCACCATCAAAGGCAAGGCAAAGAAGTCATGGACATGTTGTTGAATGTTGATGATGTTGTTGGGAGTGTTTGTGGGTTTCTTCTTTTTTTTTTTAATTGAGAAAAGGAGAAAAAAAAAACAAGTTTCCACCTCCTCCCAGCCTCCCATTTCCCTCCCCCTCCTCCTCCCCTACGCACCCTCCTCCCACCCTTCTCCCCCTCCCCCCACTCCTTTCCCCCTCCCTCTCCAGTCCAAAGAGCAGTCAGGGTTTTCTGCCCTGTGGTAAGACCTAGGACCTCCCACCTCCGTCCATATCTAGGAAGGTGAACATCCAGACTGGCTGGGCTCCCACAAAACCATCACATTACGTAGGATCAAACCCCCGTGCCATTGTCCTTTGCGTCTCATCAGCCCTCATAGTTCGCCATGTTCAGAGAGTCCAGTTTTATCCCATGCTTTTTCAGTCACAGTCCAGCTGGTCTTGGTGAGCTCTCAATAGATCAGTTCCACTGTCTCGGAGGGTGGGTGCACCACTCGTGGTCCCGACTTCTTTGCTCATGTTCTCCCTCCTTCTGCTCCTCATTAGGACCTTGGGAGCTCAGTCCAGTGTTCCAGTGTGGATCTCTGTCTCTATCTCCATCCATCACCAGATGAAGGTTCTATGATGATATGCAAGATATTCACCATTATGTCTATAGGATAGGGTCATTTCAGGTTCCCTCTTCTCAGCTGCCCAAGGAACTAACTGGGGACCTCAGCTTGGGCACCTGGGAGCCCCTCTAGGGTCAGGTCTCTTGCCAACCCTAAAGTGGTTCCCTTAACTAAGAATTGTGGTTCCGTGCTCCCCTGTCCAACCTTCCTTTATCCCAATCCTCCTGCTTTCCCAAGGCCCGACCTCCTTCCCTTCTAACTTTTCTCTCCCCATCTCCCCTTACCCCCAACCCACCCCACCCCAAGATCCCAATTTTCTCCCAAGCAATTTTGTCTACTTCCCTTAGCCAAGAGGATAACTATATGTTTTTCCTTGGGTTCCCCTTCTTACTTAGCTTCTTTAGATTCACCTATTGTAGACTCCGTGACCCTTATTTATGGCTAGAAACCAATTATGAGTGAGTACAACCCCTGTTCATCTTTTTGGGTCTGGGATACCTCACTCAGGATAGTGTTTTCTATTTCCATCCATTTGCATGCAAAATTCGAGAAGTCATTGTTTTTTACCGCTGAGTAGTACTCTAATGTGTAGATATTCCATACTTTCTTCATCCATTCTTCCATTGAAGGGCATCTAGGTTGTTTCCAGGTTCTGGCTATTACAAATAATACTGCTATGAACATAGTTGAACAAATGCTTTTGTCATATGATAGGGCATTTCTTGGGTATATTTCCAAGAGTGGTATTGCTGGGTCCAGGGGTAGGTTGATCCCGAATTTCCTAAGAAACCGAAACACTGACTTCCATAGTGGTTGCACAAGATTGCATTCCCACCAGCAATGGATGAGGGTACCCCTTCCTCCACAACCTCTCCAGCAAAGGTTATCGTTGGTGTTTTTGACTTTAGCCATTCTCACAGGTGTAAGATGATATCTCAAAGTTGTTTTGATTTGCATTTCCCTGATTGCTAAGGAAGTTGAGCATGACCTTAAGTGTCTTTTGGCCATTTGAACTTCTTCTGTTGAGAATTCTCTGTTCAGATCAGTGCCCCATTTTTTAATTGGGTTAATTAGCATTTTAAAGTCTAGTTTCTTGAGTTCTCTATATATTTTGGAGATCAGACCTTTGTCTGTTGCGGGGTTGGTGAAGATCTTCTCCCAGTCAGTAGGTTGCCTTTGTGTCTTAGTGACAGTGTCCTTTGCTTTGCAGAAGCTTCTCAGTTTTAGTAGGTCCCATTTATTCAATGTTGCTCTTAATGTCTGTGCTTCTGGGGTTATACATAGGAAGCGATCTCCTGTGCCCATCTGTTGTAGGGTATTTCCCACTTTCTCTTCTATCCTTTTCAGTGTGTTCAGGCTGATATTGAGGTCTTTAATCCATTTGGACTTGAGTTTTGTGCACGGTGAAAGATGTGGGTCTATTTTCATTCTTCTACAGGTTGACATCCAGTTGTGCCAGCACCATTTGTTGAAGATGCTTTCTTTCTTCCATTGTATACTTTTAGCTCCTTTATCGAAAATGAGGTGTTCATAGGTTTGTGGGTTAAAATCCGGGTCTTCTATACGATTCCATTGGTCGACTTCTCTGTTTTTATGCCAGTACCACACTGTTTTCATTACTGTAGCTCTGTAATAGAGTTTGAAGTCAGGGATGGTAATGCCTCCAGA